TAACATTATTTAGAAAAGGAAAGTGAGGTTAAAGTGTTGGCAGCAGCATTAGTTATGGTTATTACATTCTCAGAAAACTGCAGGGGAACCAGGAGAAAGTCCTAGGTAGGAAATTGTGGCTTCAGCCCCAACTGCTCTGCCACTCTCTCTGTCAGTTTCTTTCCAGAATGGAACCATGGGAAATTTTGTGTGTGTGTGTGTGTGTGTGTCCTTTGTGTGATTTCCGAGGATGGGTTGTTGGAACATGGAATTGCACTATTTTATAGATATCTAATTGTATTAGAATTAGGGTTGGGGGCTGAAAGGGTAGGGTTTGGGTAGGTGCCAGACCTAGAGTCAGCCTGTTAAAGGATTACTCCTTCCTCCCACCCCATCCTATCCTATATAATAAAAGCCTAATATGCAAATCAACCAAACGGGAACGAGCGGTCATTATGATGTGCACTGACCACCAGGGGGCAGACGCTCAACACAGGAGCTGCCCCTGATGGTCAGTGCACGCCCACAGGGGGAGTGTCACTCAGCCAGAAGCTGGGCTCATGCTGGTGAGTGCAGTGGCGGTGGTGGGAGCCTCTCTTGCTTCCATGGCAGCACTAAGGAGCAGCGAGCTGAGTGGTAAGGAGCAGTGAGCAGGTGGGCAGTAAGGAGCGAGGGGTCCCGGACTGCGAGAGGGTGCAGGTCGGGCTGAGGGACCCACCCACCTTCGAGTGCACGAATTTCATGCACTGGGCCTGTAGTATTATATATGGTCAGTCATTTAGAATAGAGGTAAAATACATCCAGTTGGCCCAATGGCTTAACTAAATCTATATAATCCTGCATTTTGTATTTTGTCCCTGAATTTGGGGACCTATATGGTTGTTGGTGCTAAAGTTCGTGATTATAGTTTCTATTATTTGCCATAACATATGTGACATATAAACATTCCTTTTCCAGTGTGCTCTGCCCTCTTTATTATATTCTTATTTTATTATAGAAAATTTGGTTGACAAAGCAGCAGGTTGCAGATAGTTACAGTATTCTACACATTAGTGATGTGCAGAAAGGGAAAAGTAAAATTGTATTAGTAGATAAGTTTTAGAGATGGGCTGAATAAAGTACCAAATGAATTAGTGGAATATAACTCATGGCAGGGGGTTAAAATTAAGGAATTAAGAGTCTCCTGCTTGATAACACCCTTGACCTTTCAGACTAGGGTCTGCTCAGTTACCATTTTAAGTTTCTGCTTCCGATGCTTCATATAGTGGTAGGAATGAGTCTCTGTGGAAAGCTTATCCAAACTTTGGTCCTAGAATATTACTCTAGAAGAAAGAGGCAAAATGAAACTGTGGAAGGTGCTTGGCAGCGAGCAAGAGAGGGGGCTCACAAACTCTTTGAAGGTCAATTAGCCAGAAAATGTGCTAAAGACGGGATGCTGTGCTGGATTACCGGCCCAAGAATTACCCCCAAGGTCCTCAAAGTGGTCCTGCTGCTTGAGCACAGAGAGACAATTATAGACCTTAAGGAGGTGCGACAAAAGCTTTAATTAAGGGACTTACTTACACCCCACTAAGTTTTGGAAATTAAATTCTTGTTTGTGCTTAACTGATGTTTCTTTTGTCTGGGCTTCCCATGTATTTCAACAGAAACACAGTTTTCCCCAAACCTGTTTCATGCTGGAAACTTTTCCTGGGATGTGTACTAGCAAAGCTGAGTTTAATCAATGAGGAACTAGAGGCTGTTTGCTGGGGAGCATTTGGGCTCAGGTTGAAATGGTATTTATGCATCTTGGTACCCCAGTATCCCAGGGACTCTATTTGGGCTTAAACACATGTAAAATAGAAAACAAATGTACTTTGTAGAATTTGAATTTTAGAATTCCCATTCCCAGGGGCAACATGATTTTCCTTGAATTGGCAACTTGATGTCTCTAGACACAACATTTGTTTGTTCATGACAGGGGTCCTCAAACTTTTTAAACAGGGGGCCAGTTCACTGTCCCTCAGACGGTTGGAGGGCCGGACTATAGTTTAAAAAAAAAACTATGAACAAATTCCTATGCACACTGCACATATCTTATTTTGAAGTAAAAAAACAAAACAGGAACAAATGCAATATTTGTATTTGCATGTGGCCCGCGGGCCCGTAGTTTGAGGACCCCTGGTAGCCCTTGGCCATTATCCACATTTAGATTCCATTCAGATGTGACTTCTCTTACTTCTGGAAAGACTCCGATTTAAGTTGCTAGAGCAGGTGATCGAATCAATGTGCCTGCATCTGAGCTCAACCACCTACCTGCCTGCTGAACTGGGGCCTAATCCCTGTCTTACAGGGTGTGTTCCCTTTGTTGGTTAGTGAAGCAGTTCTCTTGTCTGCCTTTCTTTGAAGCACTTCACTTCTTCCTGCAAAGTTTGGTTTGAACCATAAAGGTTTTTAAAGAGCACTAAGAAATGCTGGTGTTTTGGTAATTTTAAATTTTCTTTCCGTATTTCTGGTTCACATACAACATCAGTTAAGTGCTACATTTTTGGGGTCTCTCTGTACCCCTAACAAACTTGAAGGTGCTTTTGTGGGAATTTCAGTCTTGTCTAACTGAACAGAGTAATCACAAAGAAAATCATAAGAAGTGTTCCTATCCAATCTGACCTTGTTAGAAATGAAAAATGGCAAGAAAAGTTTAAATTGTCATCACAGGTTAATGTCTAGTGTTCTATAAAGTGGAGTTTCTACAGAAATCCCATTATTGGGCTCCATTTTCCCATGTAGGTGGGAAGAAGAGGATTAGCATTGGGCGAGAGGGCCCTTGGTGTCCACTCCATTTGAAGTGGCTCCTCTGTGGTGAAGGCGGCTGGCCCTGGCAGTCTGGGATGCTGCAGTGACTCAGTGGGCCCGGGGCTGGGCTGAGAGTTTGATGTTTGTCATTTAGAATATCCTCATACTTGGATATGTTTCAAATAATGCATAATATGAATTTCAGTTTTCTTTTCTTCGTAAAGAGGAAAATTAGTGGTACGAATACAGTATTTTTGTTTAACTGAATACCTAACTGGTTAATGAACTAAAGCAAAGTTTCTCATGCTTGCTAACTAACGAAGAATATAACTAAACTTTGCTAAAAAGTGCTGACTCAAAAAGTTGTTTTATGAAGTAAAAATTCTAAGTTCTTTTCTCTTAGGCTTTATTTTGCTAACACTGTCAGAACTAGCACATCTGGCTTAGATTCTGAAATAGCCTGGTTTTATGCTTTAGTTAAAATGAATCCAATCACATTGGAATTTGAAGATAGATAAAAGGGAGGATTTGGGTACAGTGAGGATTCTTAAACATTGCAGCGTTCTCTGGGAAGGTCTTGAACATTTCCTTTCTGAATGGCTTTAGGAATAGGCTGCTGTCCTTTTCAGCTAGCATAGGTCATGCAGACACAGTTCTGTACACAGGGTGCCGGGTGGTGGAGTAAACGCTTCTCAGCAGCCCTTCCCGTGACTCTTGGTTATACTACTTACCATCAGTAACTTTATCCAAACTGCACTTATTTGTCAACTTTTTTTTTTTATTTGGAGGGGGAATGGTATTGTCTTTTCAGTTAGACCTTCATTTTGATAGAAATAAAATATGCCATCTTTATCAGGATTAGCTACTCATGTCTTACTGAGGCTCTGCATTACCAATCCACTTTGGTTTCTGCCCCTCTCCCACGTGTGGGTTAGTAGCCAAATAATTATGACCTTCAGATGCAGCTCACTGGAATTCTTGCTTTAATAGACAGAGAAGCAGAATTGTTTAGTTTGGGGGGTAATATGAAAAACAGACCGCCTTATATTTCAACCAGGTTGCTTTGGGACTATTTAAGGATGATAATTAAGTTTTTTTCAGGCAGATAAACAAACATCCTTCTGTGCTGATCGGGAAATATGTGTCACCATCCTGTGTTTTTGTGGTACAGCTGGTACTGACCTGACAGTAGCTCCTCCCTCCCCCCATTTCTGAATTTCTTCATTATGTTGACCTTGGAGCCATGAGTGGAGACTCAGCAGTTTACTCTTTCATAAATAATGCACTCAGTCTGGAGTGGCAGCTGGAGGCTTGTGGCCCAGGTCTGCTGGGTATTTATAGTTTATGCCAGTAAACGTTTCGGTCGGATCAGCCGGGAGCTGTGGGCCCGCTCCTTTTTCAAGGTGGTGGTGAGAGAAATGAGTCGGCATTTTTAACTTCAGTGGGTGGAATGTTGATAAACTTCTCTGGCACTGGTCATTCAGGGAACTTGAAGTTGGCCTGTATGCTTGCTTGCTTGTTTTTAGCTGTTTAAACCTCAAGAACTATTGCTGGTTTGGTAAGACATAGCTGTGCACTGGCACCCAAGTAAAGGGAGAATTTTCTGTCTGCCCTGGAAAAAATCATAGGTCAACCCAGACTCATTTTACAGCAGAGGGTGGTTTTACAGTCGATGCTCCAAACTGCCTGGAAAGCTCCTTTTCTGACGGGAATATGGGTCGAGTTGTGGGACCGAGGTCCTTGTCTGCCAGTGATGTACAGCTTATGCTTCTCTATGTAGAAGAGAGTGTTGTTTTGAGTAGTAAATAAATTCAATGCAGACTTTTTATCCAGCAAGAATTACTTTGGAAAAACCCGTTTCAAAACAGGTTTTCCCATGCAAGGTTGTCAGTTTTATATTTCATTTTTCTCTTTGTCCTTTTAGGGCCAGTTCTGTGTCAGGGCACAGTTCACCTACGCCTTCACCTGACTGTGGCCCTTCAGCCTCCCTGTCTTCATCCTCCTGCCTGGACCCCGTGATAAAAAACACAGGCCCTGGCTTTTCTGTGTGCCCCAGCCTTTTCCTCAGGAGAGTCCCGTGGTGTAACATCAAATACTTCTTTTCCAGACTAGAAAGTGTAACAAGCACTCTCATTTCATAGCCAGTGGTTTAAAGAAGAATCGTTATTTTTAGTGAGCTTTTAGTGTTAAATGTTTATTGACATGTTTGCCGGGAGAAACATTGATTTTCCTCTCTCTCTGTCTTGCAGGCCCTGCTTTCTTTCCTGGGCGATGTGCTGAGGTCTTTGCCAGGGGTCAGAGCGTTGGCAAGCTGGGTGTCCTTCATCCTGATGTTATCACCAAATTTGAGCTGAACATGCCCTGCTCCGCTCTGGAAATCAACATCGAGCCCTTTCTGTGAAGATGGTCCCTGTGGTGTGGTTCTCTCCCTGAGTGTCCCTTTCTCCTCCCCTGGTGTCCTTTAGTCGTCCCCACCAGGAAGGTTGAATAAAGCGGAAAGCACTGTCTACTCTGTGGGTAGATACCACCCATTCTCCGCATCAGGCCACTCATGCAAACACCAACGTGGTGTTTGGGTAAAGCTTCACTGTTTGGTAAAAGCCCGGTGATGTCAGAGGAATGCTCGAGCAGAGGATGGGATCCGTTCTGGGAAACCAAGGCGTTCCTCAGACATGAGAGCGAGGCTCCATGGGCAGTGACTGCTGCTGCGGAGCAAGGCCCGTTCTCCCCAGCGATGGGACAGATGGTTGATTAGAACGCACCTTGAATGAGTGCGATGTAGCAGAGGGTGTTCAGTTTTCATTTTCTACATTTGACTTGTGTTCTTCCTTGGGGAACAATAACAGCATTTTTAGAAAACCTTTAGAAGCAGTGACGACTGTCTAGTAGTAGAACCTCTGAAATCACTTTAAAGTGAAACACAAATCTACAACACATATATATTCAAAATATGTGAGCGTGCGTAGGTATTTTTACTCTGATACTCAAGAGTTAGAGGACACGCAAAAAGCTCTGTCTGCTGGCAGAGTTAAAAAGGAAATGTTGATATTGTTGCACTGTGAACATTAGGAAACAGTGAAAACCATTATTGCCCTGGGCCATACATTTTACTATAATTACTATTCTAAAGTCAGGGTTTTAAATACTTAATTGAGCTCCTAGTTTCTGTCTTATTTTATAGGGAGGCATTAGATCTCTGAAGTTAAGCATCTGCCAGTTTGCCTTACCTCCCATTGCAGGATACTTTAAGAATCCTGCAGTAGGTACCCTCTATTGAAAAAAGCTGGGGCTAATGTTGGAGAAAGGTGCTCAATTACTGTTAATATGAAACACAATAAGATGTAAAACTTGAAAGTCAGGTGGAAATAGCCAAGAAAGATAGACTAGAATTATGTTTATGGCATTTTTGCTGAGGCTATTTCTAAGAAAAAACATAATCAATTACTACCTCGAGTGAGGACAGCAATGTCCAACTTAGCAAGACTTGTGAACACAGACTTCCACCTATTCCTTCCAGTTCTATTTGCAGATCCTTACAACATTTTAAAAATGAGATATGCTCATAAAAAATAATGCTTGTCAGCAGGTTTGTATCCAGCATACATAACGATTTCTTACAACTTAATAAACGACAACTCAATTTTTAAAAAGTGGACAAAAGATTTGAAAAGACGTTTCCCCCAAGAAGATAAAAGGAATAAACACATGAAAAGATGCTCATCAGGCAAATGCAAATAAAAAATCACAATACAAATTAAAATGACTAAAATTGGAAAAACTGATTGTACCAAGTGTTGGTGAGACTGGAGCTTGCATGCATTGCTGGTGGGAATGGAAAATTACATAGCCATTTTGGAAAATAGTTTGGCAATTTCATAAAACATGAAACCTACACTCATCTAGCCATTCTACTCCCTGGTTTACCCGTGTGGCCATTCAAAGATTTTCATGCACTGCTCACACAGTGCTATTCATTGTAGCCACAACCCAAATATTCATCAGCAGATGAATGGATAAACAAATTACAAATTATAGTATATAAAATACTTCTCAGCAAAAAAAAAAAAAAAAGATTGAACTGATACTTAAAACAACACGAATGAATTTCAAAGCATTGTGCTAAGTGAAAGAAGGCAGACACAAAAGAACAAAAGACTACATGTGGTTCCACTTGTATGAAGTTCTAGAAAGTTAAGGGAAGATGGGTTGGCAGGAGCTCATGAAAGGGGATTGACTGCAAAGGGTTAAGAGGAAACTTGGGTGATGGAAATATTCTATACCTTAATTCAGGTGGCCATTAAGATGTAGGTTATGTACCTCAGTAAAGCTGGGAGAAAAGTTAATGCATCTTGTATTTTAATAATTTTGTGCAACACCAGCAGATGCATGCCCAGGGTAAAAGGGCATGAATTTTAGAGTTGGCAGGGCTGCTCAAGATGACATTCTCCCCTCATTTCAGGTTCACTGTGGTGAAATCATGGTTCGTGGGTCATTGGATAGCCATTGCCTAAGTGGGTGGAGCCATTTGTTCTGTTAGCAGCCAGCCACCTGGGTATTTTTTGGATGGTCAGAAACTACCTGTAATAAAAAACCCACTGATACCTAATTGTATATCCCAGCATGAAAGGGGAAAGACCAATGCCATCCATCATGTGGATGTTTCTGCCCTCTGAAGCAGGAAACAGGAAGAAAAACAGTATCGGTCCCTCAAGAAGAAGAGCCTTCAGGTTAGAGTCAAGGCTCCCCAGCCAGATCATCTTACACTCCTCCCGTCCGGGTGAGGTCTGACCGGAGCCAGAGCAGTCTGTGGGCACTGCCGAGGGGCCTTTGTTGGAGGAGACGCACGCCTTCTTAGGAGGAAAATGTAATTGATGCTTTCTCTCGCTTACAGGTAACTTCTACTACAACCTGACATCCCTGCATGACTCTTTATAAAGTTTTTTTTTTCCTCCATGTGATCTTAATTCAACATTTTAATATTTTTAGTTTTTTAGTCACAGGAGGTAGTTAGAATAGGAATTCTCCCTGATTTATAGAACAATCGGCTGTTGGAGTGATTCATGGTGTGCCCAGAAGTTACATGGTTAACAAGTAGGACTGAGCTATTAAAAGTAACTTGGAATTCACTGATCATTCAGTTTTACTTATTAACATTACGTATCCAAAATGTTGAGATATTTTTAGGCTTTTTTAAAATATAAAAAATACTGGAAAACAAAACGTTAAAAATCTTAATGCCACTACTTTAAAAAATTGAACAAAGTAAGGCCGTCTGAAGCTAATGTACCCTTCCTCCCCAATGCCCTCAAGTAAGTTACCACTGCTAACAATTTAGCTTATATTTCTGACATTTTCCCTTGTTCGGACAGTCAGCCACACACATGCTCAGAGTGTGTGGGTCATGCTCTACTTACTGGTTTGCAACAAGTTTTGCTTTCCATTTTACATACTGTATCTCCTGATATTACATTTAATATATCCCATTTTTTCCAGCTCAATACCTACAGACCTACCTCATTCTTTGAAAGAAGGCAATATTCTGTGTTACAGATGCCATAATTTGTTCAGCTATTGATGGACATTATTGTTTCCAACTCTGCAGTTACAAACAGTACTCCAATGGACTTCGATATAGCTCCCCCTAAATAGCACTGGCTTAGGGACCCCACACACACAAAAAAATAGTCCTAAAGCTGCAAGACTACAAACATTCACATTTGCTGTCTGGTGGTCACATTCACAGACGCATGGGGTTACTTAGAGTTCAGCTATTGATGGACATTATTGTTTCCAACTCTGCAGTTACAAACAGTACTCCAATGGACTTCGATATAGCTCCCCCTAAATAGCACTGGCTTAGGGACCCCACACACACAAAAAAATAGTCCTAAAGCTGCAAGACTACAAACATTCACATTTGCTGTCTGGTGGTCACATTCACAGATGCATGGGGTTACTTAGTTCTTAGATGTGACTTTGGTGCTTGAGCAGTACATTATCCCAGGAGGTTAGATTCCTAGATGTGCTGGGGATGGCAGGTGACTACTCTTACCTTTTAAACTGCTGCTTGGCCCTCAGCAACCATGGCTCCTCGGGTTGGTACAGGCACTGCTCACAATCTCACTTCTCAATCTTTGCTTGTTTTCTAGAAACATCACTAACCCCAATGCTTGGGTATTAATTGGCTATTTTGTCCATTTTATAAAAAACAGACTGGTGGCCTTAAAAGGACACAACTGCCTTCAGCAAAATATGCCCTCTAAGTGACAAGCTTTTGACACACCAGATCTCTTCCAAGTTATGACTTATTATGTTAATAAGGAATTAGAATAACTTTATATTACTGGGGGGTAGGAGGGGAGAGGCTGCCATACATAATAAAATCAAAGCCACAGCTCACTGCTGTGACAGGCTGTGAGCAGCCCCGAGGCCCCAGACCGAAGTTGGGTTGGCAAGGGCAGTGCTGGCCACGAGCCACAGGGAGGGCAAAGCAGACCCACAATGATGCCAGTCTCCACGGCTGCCGGTGTAGTTTCAGGTATCTGCCTCTCCTTGGGCTTTCCGGTAAACAAAGGATGACTGCAAATACCGAAGTGAGACTGGGGGTTGAACAAATACCTCCAGCAAAAGATTTAATTGAATTATGTCTTGTTAAAGCCCTCTATGTTTACTTTTATGACCAATGAATGCTGTGTGACCAACGCTCAAGGCCTACACTCGTTTCTCATTCCTCATCCATAAGGTTTGGCCTTGATTATCTCTATTGAAGGAAATCAGAAACATGATGTGATCCTGCATTAGAAACACTGAAAAGTCCCCCCAGTGTCAGGAGGCACTTGCAAGAGAGAATCACTGTAGCATTCAAATGACATATGAAGCAAATCCATCCTTTAGGACAGAAAAGGTATGTGCCTGTTTGGTACTAAACCTTGTAGCAAAAGAAGTTTTCTACCTTCCACAAGTCACAACTTTTGGTCGTGAGGCATGAAAATATGCCTGTCCCCCAATAAGCAAGCACCTGTTTAGAGCCAGCAAGAAACCAGTTGGGCAGAACATTTAAACAAGGAGCACTTGGGGTTATCCTGAAGTGGACGAAGCCAGATGACCCAGATAGAATGGTGCCCCATAAGCAAGTGGTGCTGTAGGGAGGAGAGATGGTGTAGGTGAGCTAACAGAAAACAATGGGTGCGACACCTGTCCCTGGGAGGCCTTGGCCTGGGGCACAATGAACAATCAAGGATCAGCTAGATCTAACTTCCTCTTTGATGGTCAAGGTACTTAGGCATCTAGCTGATCCATGCACCTTATTCTGAAGGAATCTTTTCCTACTTTGCATACCCCATCTAGAAATCCAGATGAAATATATAAAGGAATGCTTTTCAAAACATTGGACATCAGCAATGAAGGTCAGTTATGGGGCGCGGCTATAGTGCTTTGGACAGGTTCAAGCCTCGGACTGATGAGAGGGCAGAGTCCTCTCGTGGCCACATGCAAGTCCCAGCTGGAGGGCAGGGCCCTCCCAGCACA